TGTTCGGTTTTCTTTTTTTGGCCGAGTATTCCAGCATCTGGACATCTCCAGTGTATCTTCACTACCAAAAGGGTTGTCTCTCACATCCCGATGGGTCAATTGTTCGTCTAACATCGCTTGTTCACCCAAAAACCGATGAATCGCATTTTCTGCGCTACCTCGCACCAGGTGCTTCGTCAAAGCCGAGACGCTTCCAGAGGACATGGCGGCGGAGCTCACCAAGCAACACGGAAAGACCCGGTTCGACATCGCCGAGCCTGACCTGAAGGCTCTCACGGAGACTGTCAACACGTTGAGCACGAGCGTGAGCGACGCGCAGAAGCAGGGATCCGCCGTCGTAGATGACGAGATCGCCGAACTGCTGGCAGAACTCAACATCGAGCCTGGACAGCCGCTCAGGGGGCAAGCGGTGAGCGCAATTCAGGGATGGGCTACCATCGAGGACGATGCTGAGGTGGTAGAGGCTCTTCGGCTGGACGCGGCGGACGACATGGCGGCATTGCTAGCTGGAGCGCGCATTTCTTCCGGCTGCGATGAGGAAGATGAAACGGAAGATGGCGGTGGCGGTGAGAACACGGGGCGCGAGCGCCGTGCTCCACCGGCTTATAGTGAGCTGTCACCTCACTTCGGCGTCCTGGAATCGGCAGCAGATGAGAGTGGCAATGGAGACGCGGCGTTCCATCTGCAGAAAGCAAAAATGGTGATGATCGCAGCGCATGCCGCTAAGTAAGCGGGTGTGCCAGGCAGACATGAGAGAGTTTGTCGAGACGTCGTGAAGGCGGCGGGTGTACGTGGTTGTTTTTTTTTCCTTGCAGTCAGCTTCCTATGCGCCTTTCTCGTTTCTTTTTGTTTTTTTTCCAGCAACATCGCAGCGGGTGCGCCGGGCAGTCATAAGGGAGTTTGTCACGACGTTAGCAAGGGTGCGGGGTGCATGCTTGCTTGATTTTTCTTTGCAGTGACCTTCCTGCATGTTTTTCTCTCTTTTTTACTGGTGTTTTTTTTTCTTGCAACATAGCAGCCGGTGCGGCAGGGGTCAGATAAATTGGCACGACGGAGTGAGGTTGCGCCTGGCTGGTTGTGTGTGTGTTCGTTCTTGCTAAATCGAAGCCAGCCAGGTGAGCCAGGGAGACATGATAGTTTGATCATCACGTAATGATGGCAGGGGCCAGCAGTACATGGTTGCTCGTGTTTTTGCAGTGGGCTTTCTGTCGTATTTTTTTAATACACGCAAGTCTTTTTCTATCACCAGCATCGAGGGAAGGCAGGCAACGAGGACTGAGAGTTAGCTTCGTCCACTATTTATCCACAATCTCGATCCATTTCGTACGCCGTTGGCCCCGCAAAGCGCGGACGCCACACTCACAACGTGAAGTCGAAGAGTGCCTCAATAGTGCAGAACCTGCACTATTGAGGAATATTCAAAGCCCCAATAGTGCAGAACCTGCACTATCGAGGGCACCCTCACTCCCAAGACAACCCCCACACGACTCAAAACCCCATTCTGACACCTGTGCGACACAGCCCGGGGCCAAATTGTGATACGTCTGCCGCAGGTTGTACGCGTTGTGTACAACAAGTACAATGCTCATAAAAGGTCATGAAGGGGACATCGAAACAACCGGAAGGCGGGGCATCCGCAAGGATATCCGTGCCAGCGCAGCAGCGAGTCGAATTACAATACCCCTAAGGCCCATGTTTATGGTCACCAAATCTTTGAAAAAGATCTTCAAATGTTTTTATACATTTGCGTGCGAATATTTGTCAGAGGAAGATTTGAGTACCGCTCACCTGCGTTGCAGCCCCTAGAAAATTAAAAAAAGATGCCGACAAAAAAATATGAGGAACCCCCGACGAATCTACGGTCCCCCTTGCGGTCTCTCGCAAGGGCACCAGACCGGTTGAGCATCACCACCAGCACCGTGCTCTACACAGAGCGAATGGATCACGACCAAATTGGACGGACGTCTGGAACACACTGGAAACTACACCGGTGCGTGCGTTTTTTTGGTTGGTTTCGCCCGTAGACTCGCCTTCCTGAGATGCCACCAACCCGATCGAGGCAAGCTCGCGTAGCCAGGCCGCGTTCACGATGCCTACCTTCGCAGTGCTGTCGCGGTCTGAAACTTGTTCCAAGAGACCCAATACTCCGTGCATGTAGGCATTGAAAAGCATAGATGGCTAAATGTTGGTAGGTAGTTATGGATCAGCATGATTGATGTCGCAGTTGGCGACAACGCCACCGCGTCCAACTCTAGGGAAAATGCGGCGGAACCCCGAATTGTACTGATATAAGTGAAGGCAACCCATCTCCGAGCAGATCTCGTCCTCGGTGTGGCGATGAGCATGCACCACCGGCGATCAGCCAGCACTCACTCAGCTCAAGGCTGCAGCTGCAATGCAGCAGTAGGTGATCTTGTGTACCTGTACAACCAGTCAAGCGCACCGATGTTCTGTGTTATTGCATGATGTTGTTGCGCCAGGGAACATCATGGAAGGACGGCCCACCAGCAGCACCAGTGAGACGTGCGACGCGTGTCTTCGAGAAGACGACGCAGCAGGGTATCGGCAGCTGAGGCCAAGGACCATGAGCATGTTGCGGGCTTTCGTTCGTAATGCTGGACTGGCGGAGAAGTTCCCCGGCGTGATGCCCCTTGGTGTCGGTATAGATTCCTTGGTTCGATGCAAACGTGCTGAATGTGTTTTGAAGCAAAACGACAAGCATATGTCGGACTTTTGCCACGACCGAGCGCGTAAGAAACAGAAACGCAATCGTAGCGAAGCTGCAACTTGGACTTCCGCACCTGAGCCCGCAGTGCACGTGAAAAGGCGACACTTGGACCGCTACTGTACATCGATCGTGGCGGTGGAGGCGTTGCTTGATGCTGTCAACGTCAGCGGCAGGGTGTTGGATATGTGTGGGGGGCCGGATGATGCCGTGGCACGGAAACTCCGAGACACGTGTGAGGTGGTAACGAACGACGTGAGCAGCAGGTGATTTTTCTTTGTTGCTTTAAGGACTGAGGATGTGTTACGGTTACATGGTTACGGTTGATAGGAGTTCACCTTTGGGAGAATGCGTTGTTCCCAACAGGTACTAGCAGTAAGGTCCGGTTTGCCGGGCCCCGTCTTGAGGCTAGGATTGCTCAGC